AAAATGAAATTTTTAATTTTTGATCAGAATTACCCCAACAGACTCTAATTATTTGCGAGATGTTTCTGCAATAATGAAAGACTCATGGGTACTTTATAGATAACCTCAACGAATTGTTTTCAGACAAATTTCATTATTCATTTCATTTTCGTGTAATCATCTCTTTCACTATGATTATACTTTTTCCAACTAGCAAGTTCAGAATGAGCACACATCTGTATTCTCCTAAATAATGAATCCGTTAGCTCCTGTTGAATTGAGGAAAGAAACCCGCAACCGACATTTGCACGGCCTATGTTCTTGCAAAATATAGAAAATGTTGTATGAAATCAATATCTTTTTCCGTATTCTTATAGATTAAATTACCTCGTTCTCTTACATGTTGAGATTGAGTTAGTTTTTTCAGTTTGTAAATTTTGTTAAATTCATTTTCAGATATTCATTGATCTTACTGATATTTAAATCTTTTATACGCACTCAAAATGGCCACAGGTGGTGAAGTCGAAAAGACTGCTCAACGTGTTCTGCGTTTGACAGGTATTGCTGAAGTACCCAGTGAATTTCTTATGCCTATTAGTGGTTATGAGAAAATGCCGCTTGTTTCACTTGAAGAAGCAGTTGAACCGCTTGTGCCAATTTTACCAGTAGTTAAAAGCTACGCACGTGCAGCCAAACAAAAATGCAAGAAGCCGCCTGATAATTTGACACAAGATGAATCGGCTTCAATAATGCTATATTCAATGGGATGGGAGCCGTTTAACGAATGTCTTTATTTTGCTTTAAATACTACTTTACGGTCAACAAATCGAGCAAAACTTAAACCATGGTTTCTTTATCTTCGGCTATTTCTCGCGGCCTTATTTCGCCTACCACCGATTCCTCCACTCATGGTGTTTCGAGGTGTCAAACTAGATTTGAGCCCACAATATCAAAAGGACGAAACAGTTGTATGGTGGGGATTTTCTTCATGCACTAAATCGATCGAAGTCCTTCAATCAGAACAATTTTTAGGTGCAAATGATACAAGAACAATGTTCAACCTTCAATGCCATTCAGCTAGGGACATTAGCAAACATTCGTTTTATCCATCTGAAGATGAAGTACTTTTACTCGCTGCTACTGAGTTCAAGGTGCAAGGCATTCTGGATCAAGGTCACGGTCTTCACACTATTCAATTGCAAGAAATTAAATCTTCGGAACCATTACTCATTCCACCACCACTTACTACTGACTCGACTTATTCACCTTCGGAAAAACTCAAAACTCTACAAGTGAGTAACGACTCAACTATATCCGATGCTAATCCAATCCAATCTGCTACAAATAAACCAAAATGGAATTTACTGCAGCAAGTAGATGTACCAACGAAAATTCTATCGAAGACTGGTATGTATTGGTATAGAGAGGGATGCGATTGATATTGCAGAGATTTACTCTTGCTGCCGGAGATCATAGTTGACTGTTCCTTAGTGAATCATGGGGAACACTCAGTCACAAAACAACGGTTAACAGAATGTTGTAAGCATTTTTGGCTGTTTTATAGTGTAATAGTGTATCAAAGGATCTTCAGCATCGGCAACTAACTTCGAAAGTTCTGAAAATTATAATAGTTCTAGAAATCTGTGAAAAATTAGAAATATTGATAACAAACAAACTTTTAAAATCCGTTTCAGCTCTTGAGAATACCACAGAATACAAACCAGTGAGCGTAGCATCTGGTGAGGTTGTGATGGAACATTAATGTGTTCTAAGTACAGCTATTTGTGAACAACATTTCTTGAAGATGTGAGTGTAGATGTCATATTCTAAATATTCTTATGTCATATGCATCCCAAAAAGGACACAGGCGAAATTGAATGGGGTAGTTTTCAAGTACTCCTTCAATACTAGCATTGAACGACTGCCAGCTGTTCCCTATGTTTTTTGACTCACCTTAAATTGATTTCTGGATAGTCACTTGAAAGTTGCAATGGTTTCATATCACTAGTGTGAATTGGTTCAGATGACAATGGCATTGTTTTCTTTCATATACACCAAAGTTAATCCTATCCAAGCCTGCTGCAGTCGTGCTGAGACCAAAGCCGTAATCACAGAAATCAGGTGCACTATTTGGGATAACGACAGTATTCTCCATAAAAAATGTGTTTGTTGTACTGTCTGTGTTCTGCTCGATAATGAATCTTTTCTGATTGCTATTTACCAATGGGACGCTATAGCAAACAAAGTCTCTTTCATTGACAAACCCTATCGCTTCCTTCGAGAACAATAGTAAAACCATAAGAAGCAATGTTTTCTTTCCTATTTTGCCTTTAGTTCCTTATAACACGGAATATTCCCTCAGACGAACACTTCTGACACTTTTTCTTGTGAGGACCACAACTGGAAATGTCTGACAGTGAAATAGATTGCGCTTATGAGTATGATAAATCGGTGAAACTCTGATGATTTCAAGGTTTTTCATCTAGAATAGTTCATAAAAATTATTTTCTGTGAAGAGAAGTCATATATTTTGAACGGTATACTTGTGAATAATCGTTTTCCCGATAACAAATATCATCTAGTTTTGATTTGTTTTGACCAAGGACGTCAACGTTCTTGCTCTGACTAGAGAACATATTTGAGTTTCCAACCTGAGAAGGAGTTTAAAAAGTATTTTATGCATTAGGAATCTCGATGAATATCTCGAATGTCAAATCTAGCTGCTCTCGTTTAGGTCTCGAATAACTAGAGAATCAAACTTCTTCATTTTTAGGCTTTCTTACTAGTAAATGTACCATGTTCTTTTACGCTTTTATTAAATTTGCACGAGCTTGTATTGAGAAAAGAGCTACAAATTAAACCACATGATCTTTCCTTTAGATTAAATCGATTCAAACTGAGAAGTTCTCAAATGAAGCTGAGTCATTTATTTTAGAATGTTGAAATCTATAGAGAAACTCAGTTCTGTTGTACTGGGAAGAAAAATATCAGTTGTACGTTTTGCTTTTTAATTAAAGCCTTGTATTTTGCTATGCAACACCACCATTGTTCGTGTTCTTCAGTTCGGTCCAATCTTATCACGAAATTACGTGAGTTTTTCTTTCCTAAAAATAAAATAAAATATTCTTCTTCACTAATCTTTATGTAAAAGTCAAAAATTCATTTCATTTTCCTTAAGGCATGAAATTCACATTTGTAGTCGAAACTCGTTTCAGGACATCATCATATTACAATACATTGTCGATATTATTTCTTATACAATATACTTTGTATCTTTCATGATTAGTCAGTTTTTCTATTGAATACGTCTATACTTTGTATGTGTCCAAGATACATATCATATTGTCTTCAGATGAACTTGATTATGAAACTAAAGACCAAGTTGACTTCTAAGAAGATGAAATATATTTCTGAAATCTAGTCAAATATTATAACTTTGTATGTTAATGAGAAACTTCATAAATAGTTGTTTGATTATCAAAAGTTCTTTCCTTAAAAACAAAAGAATCTCTTTGATTCCATCCATGTATATCTACAGACATGATCAGCCTATCAACCAAGTTAAAAGAAACAGCAGTACCGAAAAACTATGTGCGTATATTCTTCAAAAACGACGAGATTATCAAAAATATCGGGTAAAAGATTCACATACTGATATAAGAGGCTTTAGTTCGTTTTTATCAATAATGAAAGTTCAGGTGAAATCTGCCGTTAAGAAACTATTTTGTTCAGAATAGATCCATTAGAATGATTAATTAACATTTTAATTGTTAATGAAAATTTTCAAAATTTTGAAGAATTCAAATTTTAAGTAACTTTGAACTCAAATTTCATAATTAGTGAAAATGTGAGATTCGCCACTTCTTGTCGGTCTTGCAATAATCAGTTCACAAATTCATTATATCATCTAATATGAAATAAAATTTTCAAGTCCGAAGTATTAAAAGAAGCAAGTTAATAATATTTTTGAAATAATAACAAACTTTTATAATGATATTTTCGTGAAGAAGAGGAACTTGACAAAGCTGTACATTTTCCAGTCATCGTTTACGCTCGGTATCAAAAAAAACTGAAAAAGTACGTCTTCATTCTTAGAAATGTATAATTTCCTAAGGAACTACATGATGAATCTCCTTATGAGAAAACTTTGTTTTAAAATGACTACAACATGCATAAATACTCAGAAAAATTCTATAATTGTCATTTATTTTGCCTCACTCTTATTCTTCTTTTCTTGCCACTCTTCTCCAAAATACCTGGAATTGTAGTTCTATGTGAGATCATTATAATTTATCACATGAGATATTATCACAAAAATCTCTATTTACAGTAGCGCTTATGCTGTGTTTTCATTTGAGATTTAAATATTTCTCCGCCATGCAACCTTATTGTGCTACTGAATATCTGCACTGTATTTTTTTAACCAAAGATATTTATTTTGAATAATACGCTCAAACAACTTTGTCATTCCGTCGTCCTTTCTACGTGCATATTAATAATTAAAATTCTCTTGTGATTTTCGATCATTGATCATGATAAATTTAAATAAGTCGGAGAAATTCTTAGAAAACAAATTATGAGCATTGGTTTTAGTAGAATAGCTGTTAAGCTCTAGAATCTTACTAGAGTTCTATATGAGTTCTGATGTTGAGAACAGTCCCAACAGGTGTTTTAAAAGGAACGGATCAGTTTTAAAAGTTCTTTTAAGTAGTGCACAAAGATGACGTCGACTGGATTTCAGACTGAACGATACTAAATCAAACTGAGTTTGGTTTGGTTCTGTGGAAACATGAACTGATCGCATTTCTGGCAGTTCATTTCAGCTTATGGGACTTAACTGTTACAGATCTAAAAACAGTTGAGTTCTCAAAAAAAGAATAGTTTCATAGAATAGGAAGCTCTTGTATGTCTAATCGCCTCGTAGTATGAGTTAACTATGTCAACAAATTTCATACTTGATTCTTAGAAACTGAAAAGTACTTGAGCTATGCTTTGTAAGACTTGTTAGATTTTCTCTCATTGTTGAAAATGATTCTGATAGAGGTGAGAAATTAATTAGGTGCAAAGAGATGTAGTCACCTTTCAGAAACTGAAAGTTTCAAGGAAACCAATTAGGACTCAATGTTATCTCCCTAATTGCATAGTGCTTTGAATATTTCGAATTCTGGCTCAAGGGTGTGAGTGTGGGTGTGGGTCTTCTCTTCATTCACACCCACACCCTATGTACACATATGTATACATAGCCACTTCCATTATAAATACACTTATTTAAACCCTTGTTGCTGCATGAGAACTTTACTCTTAATTGTGCACCACAAGAATCTTCAGAAGCAGAAAAACAGAACTCCTGTCCACGATAGGAATTATCAGGACACTAAATTTACCACTTCATTCTATCGATTCTTTTCTTCACGAGTACGAGCTTATACACAGGAAGGTCTTCTTACTGCGGGCGAGTATAATAATATTATTGAAGAGTTCACAAATAAGGAATTATGTTACGTATCCACAGAAATAGAGATGAATTCAAATGCATGCATCCACATGGATATGTCTTAACGAGCACGAACGATTCGTTAAGTAAAGATCATAAAATGAGAACAGGAATCGAACCTGCATCTTCCGATAACTGATCCGCTATTCTACTATTAAACTACCTGATTTTCTTCATCATGAGGTTGAGTTTATATAAGAATGAAGAATGCAAGCATCACACATAAATTCCGATCACACATGACGATGAACCCCGAACAAGGTTGAAATAATCATTATTTGATTCTTGGACTCTCCATTCGTATATAAACTCACCTATCTCTCAGTTCGGTTCTTTCACAGTACAAGCTTCTGAAGGTCGTTCCTTTTCACGCTCTGAAACAGGAATTAGTGCAATCAAATATGAAACGTTATATGCAGCTTTGTAGAGAATGGCATAGCGAGTCTTCTTAAAAAATTTTGCAACCTGGATAATTCAAATTGAGTGAGATATTAAAAAAAAACCTGCGACAGCCATTTATTTTAGGTCACCGATTAGTATAGTTCATAAGCTATGTATTATATGTTTTTGAAATTATCAGATTCAAAGTTTAGTATTCAGGTGTGTTCTCACAACAATATTATAGTTTCTAAAATATCGTATCTAGCAAAATGGAATCTGTATAGAATTATAGAGTGATATCTTGGCTTTCAAACGGCTATATTTGAATTAAGAAATCTACTGCTTTCTCGAAAACCAAAAGCTTATAGATTTTGTTGAGTGTGTTCACCATACAAGATCTCTTTGTAAAGAAAAATTTTTCAATTAATTTATATCCAAAGTTACCTGTTGTTGAATGCTGGAAACTGTATACTTTGAATGTTTCTGTTGTGGAATTAGTGGAAAGGCACATCTACGGCTACTATACTTTGAAATCAATAGTATAAATATGAGCCACCATTTTCT